CCCCCAATACACAGAAAGAGACTTCGTCACCCACCTGTCTGAGGCGTTGCTAGCCGAGGAGCGCGGCGTGTAGTCCCTGTGGGCCACCTGCTCCCCCAGCCTGTTGCCGCCTCTGCGCCACACCACCCACACGATGCGCATGTAGAAGCCAGTGAGTAGAGCGAAACACAAAGTGAACACCCCGTACAGGCAGCCGTGGAACAGAATCGGGTAGATGGACCTTTGCATCTGAGGATTGATTGTTAGATATTTTTAGTAAGCATTTTAGAAAACTTGCAATATAATACGATTATTTGGTCGCTTTTAAGGATAAGCAGGCTAACCCAGATGTCGGGGGTTTCCAGAAATCTTGACCTACACCAAAAGTGGTCATTGCCCTACCTATAGGAGGAGTTTGGTTTCATAGGTGTGTATATTTGTTTGGTTACAGAGAAAAACTATCCTTGTCTTTTAAACGAACTGAACAAGAGGTTAAATCTTTACCTTCGATTTTCTCAAAACTTCATTTTTCGGGATAGCCCCCTTGTGCTTAAAAGCGACCATTTAAGTGCCGGAGTTTAGAGGAGTTAGCAGAGAATAACAATCACAAACAGGAATAGAGATAAGAACGATAGATGTTTCATGAAAAAGGAGCAAACCACACCAGAGCACACACCAACTACCCCCTTTTAAATAGCCGTAAAGTTAACGTTTCATTAACTTAGTGCAACCAAAAATACGCGCAAAAACACTCTCATAATGTTTCTGAAGGTCTTCAACATTAATCCCTCAACATGGGAGATCCTAGTTCCAGAAAAATGGACCCACTTGGGGGGCAGCAGTTAAAGTGGAGAATAAGAGTTTAAGGCTTCACGAATTAAAAATACTAATGTTTATGCCAAGAGAGAAGCCTGTAAGCTATGCACATCCACCAGGTTTTAACAAAAAGTTTTACGACACTTGCAACACAATTAGTTCATGTAAGTGCCGAAGATTAGATAGTATGTTTCAAGAGAGTCACAAACAAAAAAAAAACATAGAAGAAAGAGGGATAAGAACTATAGATGTTTTCATAGGAAAGAAGGAGCAAACGACAGAAGAGCACCCGCCAACCACCTACATACCATTAACAATATCTCATAACCTTAAAAGGCAAAACCCCAGACGATATGTACACATGACATCTGTCTTATCAGCACAGAACGACGACATAATATGTGAGGCAGCGTGGTAAAGTCACGCTCTCGTCAAAATACAGAAATCGTAGAAACAGGCATTTTTCTGCGATTTTGACAAGTAAAATCGATTTTTTTTTTGGCTCAAATTCTTTTATGTAAATATAAAAACACAATTCCGTCTGAATTTTACTGGAAAACATTGATGAAAGCGCAAAATAATAAATATGTCATTTTCTGTTTTCATGGACTCTTTAACAATTGGAGTTACCAAACTTTAGCTGCCAATTTCTCGCTAATTTCACCACTGAAACCAGGTGACCTCACTTCCTTCAATCGCAAATATCTTGAGTTCCATTCAAGATAGACGGATATTTATTTCATTTGAAGCAAGGCAAACAAATCAGCTTTTAGTTGATACCAATAGCCCACATGCCCAAAAATTGACGAGTGCCTGATTCCACCGCGTCGTGACACATAATATACAGGTTTACCTGAACTGATACAGACGTACCGACAGAAAGACAGGTTCATCGAGTTTGTATGTGAAAGTGGGAGTGTGTGAAAATGTGTGTGTGAAAGTGCGAAAGAGAGGGGGAGAAAGATATAGTATTCATTATTATTTTATGGACGGAGAAAGAGAGACAGAGAGAGAGACACAGAGAGAGAGAGAGAGAGAGAGAGAGAGAGAGACAGAGAGA